TAGTGAATTGCCATAAAGCACTCAACATGATACCCTCTCCGACACCGTGTGCAAGCATATTTTACTCGGTTCTTGCCACCACGGATCGAGCAAAGAAGACACAGCAGCTTTCCTCGGCTTCGGGTAAGCATGTGCTGCGACTGATCACTACCGACGATGTCTTCAATGGGCTCTCGATGATTCGCTCTGTGTCTGAGAGATTGCATATGCATGTGCTGAGCTGCCACAAGCAGATTGACTATCTCCTCCTTTGCTTCGCGTAAACTTTTGGGCGCCGATACTTCGACTTCACGATCATTGGCACCATCTGTAGCGGCGTGTCCATTGACAACAGCGATGATAACCTGGTACATGGCATACGCATTGTGGATTGCCACGTCCAGCAACCAAGTGAAAATGCTCATTTGCAGTCGTTTCTCCCTTCGCCGAGTAGGATTAGTGCTACGAAGTTGGTCAAATCGATCCACTGCATTCACGTACTTGCTGTACGCGCATACAATGACAGGTGCGCATACTTTCGATCGACAAAACACCCCCGTACCCGTCCATCTCTTTATAAATCCCGTGCCATTGCAACACATTTGTGCTTCACGTGACGAACCATCTAGCACATTTGATGAGGGTGTCGCTGTAAGATCATTTGCGTAAAACATCACGACTCGCTTGTCTCGAAAGACGATGTATCCCGCATGAGCTGAGCGCTGTTGAGGAGAGACAAATGGTGTCTTTTGTGCCTTTTCCAATCCCTTTCCCGTCTTTTATACTCTTTCTCTGCGGCCTTCACGTCACCAACGACTTCCACGGCAGCAACAAGCTTCCAAGAACCCCGTTCAGCGTGTTGAAGAGCTAGAACTGTGGCTTCAACAGAGGATCGAGACAGGTTATCTACGCAATTCAGTCTGCAGGCTCCAATTTCTCGTGTTTCACTTCTTGTCATCTCGCGTATGGGCTTAGCCAAACCATGACGTGTATAGTACGAATCCATCACGACTACGCGTTTGCCACTAGGTGCTGGAAGCTGTTGATTTTGCCGAGCAAGCATTGTTACCCATAATGCGGTTGCTTTCTTGGAGTTCAACCCTCCATCAGCGCAGAGTCCTGCCATAGGCCGTCGCATATCAGGGAAACTCGCCGTATAGCGTTCCAAATGGCCCTCGACAGTGGTGTTTCCGCTGCCGTTGTCAAACAGTCCGTGTACATACAGTGTTTTCCAGTCTACAAGAGCGTAAAACCGTACTGCATACTAATCTGGTTTAGAATGAATAAACGTCCGCGCAGCTGAGCGAGCTTTTGTCCGTATTGAACTTTCATCCAAAGCCGAAACACCAATCGGGACCTCCAAAAAAGCATACTTCTTCAAAATATTGTTGGGTATACTGCGGCAATGCCACAAAGGATCACGCCGTTTTACTTCCTCTGGCACCGTATCCGTTGGCTGCAGCGTAATTGCTGCTCGGATTTCAAGGAACAGGTCTCGTTGTATTGTCTATTGGAAAAAAGGGTGGCCATAGAGCTCATATGTAGACCAATACTTTCGAAGGCGGTTAAGAGGGCAGAGGCTTGTGGCAATCTCAAGGCCAACATACGCATTCAGCTCCAAAAGTGTGATGTCTGGTGCCCCGTTTTCACGAAGACGAGGGTTGATCCACTGCAGTAGTGTGTTGCGCAACTTACGTGTGAAGAACAGCTCAAATAGACCCGGTATGCCTTTTTTCCGGTATGCACGCATAGCCTTCTCTTCTTGGAGCAAGGTGATACCAGCTTCAGCCTCCAGCCCACCAATGTAGCGCTGGCCAACTCGGAGAATGTCTGGGTCGACTCGAGGACCGATCGTCGTGCCGCCGGCTGCACCATCATCCCTACAGACGCATTCAATATCGTCGCCTTTGCTTTCTTCTTCGCTGTCGTTTTTATTTCCTTGTGAGCCGTAAAGATCTTTCCTCCAGATTCCCATTCTGAAAGCAATAACTCGATGTCCACGTTACTCGTCAAGTCAGATCTTGAAATGCAAGAATGATTTTAATCGCGCAAGGGGGTAGGACGTCGCCCACCCTGGTTGTACCTTTGCGACACGTCTGATTGGCCTTCTAAGAGGTCCCGTGAGGGCTCCTGCCCGACTTGGCTTTCCGTGACCTTTCGTATACTAATTTGCTCCACTAGATGCTCGTGATTTGCATTAGTAGAGGCCCTCGGAGGGTCTCTAAAACATCAGGGCTTACAGGGTTAACATCATCATCCTAGACTTTTTAGCACAGCAATTATTATTTTGATAACTCAAAGTAATCATCTATAAGAGTTAAAACTCATGCTATTTAGTCTTGGGCAGTACGGATTTGTTCTCATCGACAAAATTCTGACACAAGGCGAAAACGCCGGTGGAGAAACAAGACGAAGCCCTACCCGTGCGTCAACGCCCGACAACGATAATAAGAAGGCCACATCACAACTGTGTCTTTATCCCCATACTCATCAATCGCTTTCCGGTCAAAGTGCTCAAAATTATCTCCTAGCTGGTTGTTGCTGAGATATGGTAGAGCAAAATTCCTAATGTATTCGCCGCGAGACATCTAAATCTCCCTGCAGTTTTTTTGTAATTGCGTGCTATATCTAGTTAAATAGTCATGGCAAACAACCTCTGCATCAATATTCAATTTTGGTCGACCTTCGAAAACCTTGACAGAGGTTTCCCATGTTAAAAACAAGCAATTAAAATACTTAAGTACAAATGTTTAAAACATTTGTTTTTCCTCGAGCAAAACGTTTTTGCTAGAGGAAAAAAAAATGTAAAAAGAGGCTTTTAGTTTTTGCCAAAAGCTAGAAGCCTCTTTTTAAGGAAAAGCTTTTTAAAAAGCATTTCGTTTCTTGCAAGCAAAAAACTGAACGGGGTTTTCCATGCCCTATCCATTCTCGCTACTTGTATCAGCCAATCGCATCGCTTTCACCCATCGCTTCCACACTATAAGAATTCACAAGCCGTAGCGGACACCAAGTACCGAGACGCGTCGTGCTTCTCTTTCCCTCCCGAAGCGTCGCTCGTCTCTGCCTAAAGCCTCTCTAGTCGACCGTCCTTCTTTCTATACTTGTCCATTCTCTCATTAGGTCGCTGCTGTCATGGACCCATCCGAAGTGACGGTGCTGGTCGTGGAAGACGATGAGTTCACGCGCATGGCCACCATCGATATCCTCAAGTCGTGCCGCTACACGGTCTTCGCAGTGGAAAATGGCCAGCAGGCGCTCGATCTTCTTGTGACTAACCACGCCAAGTTTGACCTCGTCTTGTGCGACGTCATGCTGCCTGTTATGACGGGAATCGAGCTGCTGGACGAAATTCAGAAACACAGCGCCACACTAGGCCACATTCCCATTGTCATGACGTCCAGTAACGAGGAAATGGATGTCGTTACCTCCTGCCTCAGTAAGGGTGCCAAGGACTATCTCATCAAGCCCATCCAAGTTAACACAGCCAAGACTCTAGTACGCCACGTGTGGCTCAGTCGTCGCCTCGAACGCACCTCCAACAAGAGCATGTGGCAGGATATCGAAGTCATTCGCACCATCGGCAAAGGTACACACGGTACTGTGGTGCTGGCACGTCGTAAAGTGGATGGAGCTGTCGTAGCCGTCAAACGCGTGCGCATCTCGCAGATCTCCGAGAACGGCCGCAAGCAGGCGGACAACGAGGTCATTCTGCTCAAATCGCTGTACCACGTCAACATCGTGCGCTTCTATGACCATTTCCTGGCTGACGACGAGCTCAACATCGTCATGGAATACTCAGATGGTGGCAATTTACGGCAGTTAGTGAAGCTGCGCTCGCGCGAGAAGATGGGGCCTTTTCCGGAGCCTGTTATCATGAGCTGGTTCGCCCAGCTAGTGCTGGCTGTGGCTTATATTCACGGTAAGAATGTGCTGCACCGCGACTTGAAGGCACAGAACGTCTTCCTTACACACAAAAACGTGGTAAAGCTTGGTGACTTCGGTATTTCCAAGGCGCTGGCGGGAGATGACACAGCTAACACTGCGTGTGGTACGCCTGAGAGTATGTCCCCAGAGATTTGTCGTGGTGAGCCCTACGGCAAGAAGTCGGACATTTGGTCGCTGGGATGCATTTTGTACGAGATGATCATGCTGCGCCGTCCGTTTGAGGCCTCCACGCTGCCTGAGATCTTTACAAAGATCTGTAAAGGCGAGTTCCCGCCCATTCTGCCTTCGTTCTCGCGCGAACTCCGTCTACTTGTGCAGCTGATGCTTCAGCAGGACGCGTCCAAGCGTCCATCAATCGAAGATATCTGCCGCTTCCCGTTTGTACAGGCACCGATCCAGGCCTTCCTGTCCGAGCACGTGTCGGAGTTCCAGGAGGCATTGGAACTCGAAGCCAAGTTGCATCAGCCGTCGCTATACAGCACAGGAGCGGGTAACCCACCCGTATCTCCTGTGTCGCCGAGTCTGCGCCGCCGTAACCACAACAGCAGCAGCGGAACGCCAACGAGTGGCTTCGGTGACTCAGTTCCTGAGTCAGGCTCTCCTGTTTCTAGTCGCAGTGATGGCTCCAGCAATGCTGGCTTCAACAACAATGGAAATCTGCGCAACTCTGCCATCGCGTCAGCTGCAATTGGGCTGGCTGCTGAAGCCGTCCCTACGTCTGGTAGACGCCCCCAACAGAACAGTGATCTGGCCAAGATCTCGGCGGACGCTGTGGAAGACACTCTTGGTGATAAACTGCGTGCTCAAGTGTCTATTGGGGATGTTCGTGTGGGCCTTTTCACCACCTACACGTCGTGCACTTCGGCGGATGAGCTTGTTCGCGTCCTCAAGACGAAATTCGACAAGACTCATATTGAGGCAGCGACGATTCTGTCAGATTTTCTAAAGAAACGCGTGCTCAATGTCGTGTTCGCTGAGGACGCGTCACATCCGGATCTAGGGGCGAAAGACACGTATCTTCGTTTCCAAGTGGACGAGCTGTTTGTGCCGCTTAACATGAAATATGTCTGTGTTAACGAAGTCCAGCAAGGACCGATGGAGATCTGTCTACGCATTCGTGAAGCTATTGCGGAGTTGCATGCACTCAAGTCGTTCCCGCGTGGTATTGGCACTGGATTTAGTCTGCCCAATCATGTATCATCCACTGGTAACAGCGTCGCTGAGTACTTTGACGCGCCGTTGTGCCAGAAGTATCGTCGCTTCTTGAAGCTGACGTCCAAGTTGCAGAATGTTGATGTGGGAAGTCTGCCCAAGCACGAGCGTCAGCCCTTCTTTATCAACATTTACAACGCGATGGTGCTCCACGGTCTGATCGAGTTCGGTGTACCGCAGAACATTGGTCAGTACAAGGCGTTTGAGCGTGATGTGACCTACACGATTGGCGGACTGGAGTTCACGCTTGGCGACATCAAACACGGCATCTTACGTTGCAACCGCAAGCCCCCGTCGAACTACTGGGAGCGTCAACTGCAGGCTCAAGACCCCAAATTGCAGTTCCGTTTGCACATTCGTGACCCTCGCTCCCTTTTGGTGCTGATTGACTGTGCTGAACCTCTCCCTAGCGCTGCAGATGTCCCTATTTTGAAACCTGGACGTACAGACACGGATCTTGAGGAACAGGCAGAGAAATTCTGTGAGCGTTTGGTTGAAGTGGACGAGCGTGGTGGAGAAATTGTGCTGCCACGAGTGCTGCGTATCTTCCGCGATGACTTTGGATCTTCGGAAGCTGAAATGGTGTCGTGGTTGGCGCAGTACATGGATAACGCACCAGCTAACCTAGTGAACTACCGCGTAAGGTATCAGACGGGCATTTCGTCGTGATTGGAGTGACGGAGAGCTGCGTTTTGCCCGTCTTGAAGTGAGGTGGATCTTTACTCACTTCTGTTAGTGACGGAACGAAATCTTCGGTGGAGCAAAAATCGCACAAGTGATGGAGTAAAGTTTCAATTGGCGAATGGAAACCGACACTACGCTAGCCACTTGCCATTGCAACTGTACTTTTCATAACAGCGCTCTTTGTTAATTGAGTAAGAGGGATTGAGGTAACTGGAGCCACATGCACTCATGAATGCAAAGTAAAAGAACAAACACCATTTTGCTTTTTAATTCACGTTATGCATTTACATGTTATCATACTTTAGCACTATATCTATCTATATCGGAAGCGTTGTGCATAGTAGCACACAGTACAGTACTGCCAAGACTGTTCCTGTTTGAGAATTTTCAATGAAGAATTTTTGTTGAAGTGTGGAGATCCACCGGCAGTAAACTCAAGACGTCTTGCAGCTTGGCGCACAAACTTCATGACAACCTTGTGTCATGGCACCAGGATCGCCGTTGAAGCTGCAGGTCTCTGAAACGAGCATCGAAATGAACAGCAATACAGTACGAATTCTTGAAACCGCTAGTTTGTACTTCAGAGAATGGGTTACTTCAGTGTATGCCGCGACCTGCGGTGAAAGCTCAGATGCGATTTCCTTGGACTAGATTAGTACAGCGTTGACGAGAGTGCAGCTCTGTGGCGATGAAAGCGAGCAAGGCGCAGGGGCCGATCATTCAAATGAACAAAGCGTTTAAATTGCAAGTGTGCGCTGCCTGCCGGCTTCTCTGATTCGAAGATACCGGTATAGTGGCGAGTGGGCAGTAAAATTAACATAAATATTCGCGCTAAGGGCAGTGCAGGTAGCAACGCTGACCAATACGATGCTGCTGCTGATGAAATCTCAAGCCACAATCTAGCACGCAAGATACAGCATTTCTCAGCGTGATGCCGTTGGCGAATGGCGGTTCGCCAACACGTGCCAGCGCAGAATAATGATGATACTCGAGGACACGAATAAGCCGCGGCATCATCAAGCTGCCACTGGCTGAGCCAACTGTTGGGAGTCCCAACTTGGGAGGTTCCCAAATGGAGCTGAAGTCTGACGTGGCGAGTGGTGTTCATGGCCAAGATCTCGACAGCCACGGTGCCGTTTGAAAGTTGACTGTGAGTCCACTTGGGGGCTTTCTTGCATTCACTGCCGCCGCGATTGTGAGCTCCTTAAGCACGAGCATGGGGATCTGATAATTTTGCGGAGACGTTGAAGTTATTGATACCGTGCCACCGAGCTCCACCTGCTTTGCACTTGCTCGCTCCGTGCGATACGGCTTCGTTGAATATGATCAATTTGGTCTGCTTGGCGGAGAATAGTGAGCTCTTTTGCGGGGAAAGCCCACGCATCTCCCAGCTGGAGGCAGCCACTGAAGAACCTTCAGTGAAGGCAGTCAGCGAGTCTCACCACGTGCTGTGGCTTTATTATTCGAAATAGTGCTAAGTAATGGTAAACGTGTTCGGATCGGCGTACGTCACCCGTCGAACAAAAAGCGTCCCCACCATCCCAACAAAGAGACGTTGCCTTGACAGCTTGTCAAGACGCATTGGAGGGGAAATCAGCCTTCCGGGCTGGAATCCAGCCCAGACCGATAGCGAGTAGCAAGCGCAGCATGTCCAATGCACGACCTGTTTAATTGACATTGTAAAAGCGGAGACCAACTCGATGGCCGAGAGGACAGGCAGCTCCCTGAAGAGCCGCGCTTAATTTCCACTTCAACGTGATAATCCACCATCGGCTACCTTTCAGTGCATTTTATGCGGCGCGCTCTCTGATTGGCCGACTGGTGATGATCGGGAGTCAGAACGGGTTCACTCTAACTGCAGCCGTTACTGACGTTGTCCAATCAGCGCCTGCCATTTTTAAACACGCCACTGTGCGTGTTTCTCTTGGCCCCAGGTTGGCTCCTGCCGACCGTTACACTTTTCTCCCCTAAACGCGTGCGTCAGAGCAAAACTTGCTGCTTCGAAACAAACGCTTTCATGACAATTCAATTTCAGTGTGGCATCGGTAGGTACCAGAGGGCGCTTGTCTGCGGCAATTGCTTTTGCGTGAGCTTTACGAGAGCTGTTTGTTTACATCCAGCGTCTTGGCGGGCCTAAAGTCACTTTTGCACGCTGGCGGATAGCACGGCGGAGATTCCCAACGCCTTTCAGCCCAGGTGATGCAGCGCCGAACCACTGCCTTCGCAGATGGGACTCGCCGTTGCAGTTGGGCCTAGCAACGCATCCCTGGTTAAATTGACCGAATTAGGCCGGGGTATACTGGCTGCAAGTGAACACGAACCTCAACCGCTGACAGTTTGACAACCCAAATGCTAAAACCCTACCATTTGTGGGCGAGTTACAAGCCTTTTCTTATGACCGCTTCGACGCTTTCGTAGGTACTGCCGCTTTAAGACTTGTTCCATCTTTTCTAGCCCTCTTCGTTGCCTTTTATTGAGCCCGCATTCGGCTCCGGACACTTCATTGTTGAATTTGCTCTCCGAGCCCCGAGCCCGACCCAAAAAAACTTGTCGCCTGTCCGTTTCAGCACTACAGACCGCCTGTTTCTGTCTTAAGCGCCTTCCAGCTGTGACGAGAAGAAATTACGAGAATCCCCGCCTGACGCTCCCGAGTTTCAACGGAGCATTCATTCACTTCCACTTTTTCCGTGTGTCGGCTACCTGCCTCAAGCGGCGGCATACCAAGTAACACTACTCTGATCTCCGTAGCATCATGAGCGCCACCGTCGTTCAGTATCCCGTAGAGCCTCGCGTGACTCGGTCACGACTCGCTGACGAAGTCTCAGCTGCCAAGAAGCGCAGCGGTGCCCACGTGCGCGCGCCGTCGGAGCGCATCGCGTTGGTGCTCGACATGGACGAGTGTCTCGTACACAGCAAGTTCCAGAACGAGGTCGAGTACCGCCAGAGTGAATACCGCCCGGAGCAATTAGAGGAGTACAGCGACTCGTTTGAGATCGTTATGGATGATGGCGAGCGCGCAATAGTCAACAAGCGACCAGGCCTTGACCGCTTTCTAGAGGAAGCCGCTAAGCACTATGACGTGTACGTTTTCACTGCCGGCCTAGAGGCCTACGGCAAGCCCATCCTAGACGCCCTCGACCCCAAGGGCAACCTGTTTGCAGGCCGATTCTTTCGCGAGTCGTGTCAACAACGCAAAGGCATGTTTCTCAAAGACTTAAACGTGGTGCGCGGCGGCGATCTGTCTCGTGTTATCCTCGTCGATAACAACCCCGTGTCATTCCTCATGCAGCCCAGTAACGGTATTCCTGTGCCGAGCTTCTATGACGACGCCAACGACCGGACACTCGAGTCATTGAGCAAAGTGCTGGCCAGTCTGCAGGATGTTGAGGACGTACGCCCGCGACTGCACCAGCTTTTCCGTCTTGCGGACCTGCTGGCCGAGCACCAGCGCGTGATCCTGGGTTGATAAAGTTGAGTACATCGTGTCGTCTCGTTCTCTCATGGGTGGATGGATATGAGTGGGAATGGATGGACCAAGTGGGGCTACCCTAAGCAAGCCCCCGCGTATCAGTAACAAGTATATAAGCCAAGGTGCCGTGTAGTATCGTGAAAAGTACGAGGTGAAAATTAGATAGCCGCTATATTTAAAAGCAACCAAGACGCCCACCGAACAAAGCGGACGGTGACAGCAAGACGCGGCCGTCCTTCTTGCAAACCTTAACATACGTAGTAGCATCCTCCTTTGTCAAAATCAGTTGGATAGAAGGCGCTTAGCCACGTGCCAGAGTCATTTCTTATTCGAGCTTTTCGTACATTAGATGGCGAGGAGGGTATCGTCACTGGTGTCCTGTTTCCAATAGCTCTATCATTCGATAAATGAGCAAACACGCTTCTCGCAAGCTGCGAGTATCCGTTGCGAGTACTGAAACGCAAGGCAAAAGTTATTTACACATTCGATTACTTATCTATCTCCTGGACCAGGGACCTGGTCGCTTCGTAACTGTAGTTCATGGATTGTCGTCTCAGTTCAGAGGTTAGCTCCATTCCATTGGAGAGTCCATTGAGACAACTTCAACAAAGCATGTCTGGGAAAGGGCGCGCAGGCTCGCACCGCACCGGACCTAATTGCTTAGGTGCGAATTGTTTTATTTCGCACTTGGTGCGATCTCACAAGCAGTGCCAGTATTAATACCAAACGAGCATGTCAGCACGAGGGTCTCGGTGGTCGGCTGCGGCGGCTTACGGTGCGCTACCCGGCGCCCCCATCGCAGAGATCCACACGCGCAAATGGACCAAGCAGCCCAAGACAGTAGGTCACCTGAACATCCCCAAGTGGATCCCTGGTAGGATGTCTGCAATGGGACGAGTCGGCGACGTAGATATCTAACACTGCTCGATGTTGTGTACTTCAGACCAGGAGGTTCGGCGCTATGTCTAAGCATGACTACTTTCGCAGAACCCTATATTATAATTTCGATACTGGTTGCATGCTTAGAACCCGACGGAGGCTCTGCAGAAGGGAGCATTCAAGAAGTCGAAGGGTATGGCACTCGAGACTTTGAAATGAAATGAATTATAGTGCTGACTAGTGAACTTTACTAAACTATTCCAACAGGACGCAAGCGCGGCGCAGGAGAAGTAGGACGCATGACGCGCAGTGTTCGTCAGCATATGGCCGCTCCCTTGGAACTGTTATCCGAGTACCCCGTCCGCGTCGTAAGTTCACGTACACTCACACTGGAGAACACACATCACTAACGTAATTGTATGCTTTGGGTGTTTTTTACGCTGCAGCACTCATCACGTCAGACATCCCCTGCTCGGACGGCGACAGCATTATCCACATCTGCGCGAACGCCTGTACCGATGCCGTCACCTGATGCGGCGCCAGTGGACGCTACTGCCTTTCTCGGGGAAGATCCAACCGCCTCAAGTGCGCCGACGACCGCTCCAGGTCAGACCCAGCAGGAATATGCCGCGACTGAACCCACTATGCAGCCAGCAACGCTGTCGTTGCAAAACGCAATGAAAGCTGAAGTAGCTGCCGTTACTACTGAAGCAGCATCATCGTCTACCTCGACGCTACAAATGATGCCGATAATGCCACCTGTGTCCAGTCAAATGATGGCCGATGTGCCGTCGGATGAACAGCTTGAAATGGTTCTCGACGACCTCCCGATGCTCGATGCAGACGATAGCTTCAATTTGGATGCGCTAGATCCTGCCTTTTTACCGACCCCAGCGCCGACAGGGGCCCCACCAACTAGCGGCCAGTATTCCAGTGGCACTTATTCAGAGCAGCAGTCGGTTGAAAACTCGTCGGCCTCGGTCAGCGAAGACGATGCGTCTGCCAACTCGGGCTCGTCGATGCCATCAGCATCTCCTCAGTCTTCCCCCGGAATGATGTCTCAATCACCGTCACCCTAGACAAACTGAAGGACATGCGCTTAAGACGCTGCGAGTAGATGAAAACCTACAGTTGCCTTAAGGTTGAATTCAAGCATACATGTCAAAGAATCTGTCACTCCCTTTTATTTTGTGTCTTGAAATAATTACTTGCGTAAAAGCTTCCGCACTAAGACTTGGAATTCTGTCATCTCGGCGTTCTGCTCAAGAATGTAAGGTATTAATTATAGGAGATTTAACCAAAGTTACCAAGTTCTCTTGACTTACAGACTCGTTGTGTCGCGGGTTCCGACGTAGCATGTACCTAGCGAGGTGATCCAATGGGCGAATCGGAGGGCCACTATCTTCGCCATCTTCATTCTTCTCCTCGCTCGCCTCCACTGCCTTAAGCAAGTGCACGATCGCTGCACACATCAACAACGTTCACGTACAGTGCAGTTGTCAGTATTCACAACGATCGCAACGATGTCGTCTTCTGTAGAACCAATCATACCAAACACCAAGACAGGCAAAATCTGCTCCACAACGATCTCCAACTCCTTCGGTGTCGATGAACGAGCTTCTAGGTTCTTCAGCAACGCTAATATGAAGACTTGCGAGGCCATTTGCTCTTCCTGAAGACCCATCGCGTCGAAGAATAAGAGCTCAAAAGTAGAAAGGTAAACCAGAAAATAGAATGTGTAGCCATTTCGCTCCACTTATGTACGGCATTCGGTTAGGTGCGAACATCGTCACCACACGCTTTCGTAGCTCATCGGATAATGCCGTCGATATCGACAGCGCGAATTTCGGTGAGTGGAGAGTCCACAGCATTGGGATGCATCGGCATTCAGCTGAGCGTCTGGTCAATTCAATTATCTTGCGCTTTCACGCATACTAACTGCGTTAAAATTCCCGGCATATTGACAATGCACTGATCAGGTGACGGCCGAAGTTGTGGGCACAGGGTCCGACGGCACGGAACCATCGCTGCTGCTCTCCGTCCAGCGTCATGGGCTGTACAGTGACGACAAGAAAGTGCTGAAAAGGTATTTGTTCAATTGTGGGGAAGGAACGCAAAGACTGGCTGGAGAAAATGGCATCAAACTCAACTCGCTGGATGCAATGTACTTCACGCGATTCGATGTCAAGGTGGGAATGCAATGGAGTGTTGGTTTAACTGGTTTACTAGAGAATTGACGCGTTGTTGATAGTCGGTGAGTGGTGTTCCTGGTGTGATATTTGCCCTTGGATCGTGTGGCGCAGCGACGCTTAAACTCCACGGGCCTGTCGGGCTTCACGGATTTCTTGGCGCCATCCGGAGTTTTGTACGGAGGAAATACCCTCAACTTCAAAGTATTGAGATCACGGGCCCAAGCAAGGACCAAAGTGCAGAACGAGACTTTGATGAGTCAATTCAGTATGATACCTGGGGCGAAGGATCCGAACGAATCGATCAACATGCACTGATATTACCGATCGCACTTGGCGTTGGGGTTGAAGCGTCATCTGACCATTCCGTCGAGCCTCAATGTTGTAACCTTTGCGAGAAGAACGCCCCTAGAAAACACATACAAGATATGTCGGCGGAGGTGAGCAGTAGCACCGTGTCTACAAATGCAAGTCAGCGTCCTAGCAACCAAGTTGGCCGAAGGCTGGAAAACGAAAGTGACGAGCACGAACAAGTTCGAGAATGGCTTGTGCAGTATTATACTGAGAAGGTACCAGCAAAGCTTCCTTACATCGACGTTGTTTTAAACCGATATCGTGGACGCTACGGCGACTTGAAAAGCCAACTATGTGCAAAGTACGGTGGCATGACAAGCCCGACATTTGATGCTGAAGTTGAAGCGTCAAGCTCAGATTCTTCGCCAGATAACGACAGTGACCGTGACAACGATTCTAGATTCAGCTACGTTGGCAGACAACTCGATCGGAGGTGGATGGAAAAGTTTTACGCAGAATTCCAGCCAGATAAACTCGTCCATATAGACAGAGTGTTACGTCAGTTCTCAGGACGAGAAGATACGCTAAAGGGAATGCTCCTGAAAAAGTATAGTCAGAACCTCGCGACTACGGCAACAGCAAACCAATTCCACGCAGAACGTGATGAAGAAACTCCGCTAAAAAAGAGAAAGCTACATCGAACAAGTGACGATGATGCAGCACCTATCGACGATACGATCCCCAAGATTTATACGAGTAACACCAACTCCGACGAGAGATATTCGGCGCCCTCAGACGCCGTATCAAGCTCTCTTTGCTACGTTGTGCAGTGAGTCATCACTCTGCACGGAGATGGTTTAAATGCACAGATTGTTTCTAACTTATTGACAATGCTCTTCTCTGACGAATAGGCTCCAGTATGCCCCTTATCCAGTGGTGTGGATCATTGACTGCCGCACTTCGGATCATATCTTCGACTTGGAACGCAAGTTTTCAGTCACTGCAGCTAGCAGCTACTGCGAAGCTCACTTGCCTTCGCTAGTGGTGCACTTGAGTCCAGCCCATGTACAAGCGCAACCGCGGTAAGGTGAAATATTTTACTGAAAAATACATTTACCTCGGCTGTACTCACGAGTTTTATCACGGCCTGCTAGATACAAGCAATGGATGACAAATCTTTCATTGTCAACTTCGCGACCAGAACAGTTGGTCTTTGATGGGACTGCGCTTCAGTCAGTCGCCCAGGGTGTCTTTAGTTACGCGTTTGTTTCTTCCGCCAAGGTTGCTGTACAAAGGGAACTTCAGACTCGTGCTACACAAGTCAAAACAGAGGCCAAGCCGAAACAAACTACACTAAACTCTGTAGGATACCTCGCGACCTTTTTGGAGAACTCCTCGTGGTCTTCTGAGTCCCCATGTCGACGACAAGTTGTGAAGCATATCGAAGGATGCGAAGCTGAAGCACATGTCGCTCAGAGCAAGTTGCAGTTCTGTCTTCTGCATCCGAAGAACATGCAGTTAGGATTTAATTACGAGCGCACCGGGTGGCACCAAAAAGCTGACAAGAGCGAAGATGATGCTGACAGTGCTGTGGGTTCAGAGTCGAGCGATGTATCTTCTAGCTCGAATCAACGAACGAGTAGTCAAGTGGATCTATTGACGGCTAGAAAGTTAATTGTGCTGGGTACTGGGAGCGCCGCACCTTCCAAGCTTCGTGCAAGTAGCGGCATCTACTTAGAGTTGTCGGGAACAAATGCTGCTGACGTTGAAAGTATGTTGGTGGACTGTGGCGAAGGAACGTACGGGCAGTTGTGGCGCCAATTTGGTGATGAGGTTGCGGAACGTATTGGTGGGTTGAGGTGTATTTGGATCAGCCACAATCATGCGGATCATCACTGTGGTCTAGTGCGAGTGCTTTACGAGTTTTGGTACTTCCACATGCGTCGGAAGGATGGCAACAGCTCACATTCCCTGGTGGTGGTAGCACCTCAGTCAGTGCTGTCATACGTGGAGAGCTGGCTACCGCAATTTCTTCGCAATGACTCTGATTATCAGTTGATAAGGTTGGCGACATGTGAGACTTTCAACAATCCCAGACATCCACTTCGCTGCCAGCTCTTGGCGGAGATCAGCTATGCCGTGACCAGTATTACGAGTGTGCGAGTGTTTCACTGCTACGACTCGTATGGCCTCGTGCTGACTTTACAGGGTGGAAAGAAACTCGTGTACTCTGGAGACACTAAGCCGTGCAACGATCTCGTCTTGGCTGGTATGACTGCTGCTGCTATGTGGTTGAGCCGATTGTTCTAACCTTCTTTGTATATTTGCTTTTAGGAATGGGCGCTGAGTTGCTGGTCCATGAAGCGACATTCGACGATTCGATGGAGCAGGATGCAAAAATGAAAAAGCACAGCACTGTTGGCCAGGCTCTCGATATTGCTCAACGCATGCGCGCACGCCAAGTTATCTTGACGCATTTTAGCCAGAGGTATCCTGCGCTCCCACCACCGGTATTGGACTCCAGTGAACGCTCGAGCATTGATCCAGCCACTGTGCTGTGTGCATACGATGGTTTCGTGCATCCGATGCCGTTCTAACGAGAAGTATTTCTCAACATGTAGTGTAACTTCGTTTTTCCAGTCTATTTAAGTGACTTAGTTGCCCTCACATTAGTGATGGAAGCATTTGTCCTGTCGTCGGCAACTTGTAAGTTACAAGTTGATCGCTGAGCAGCTGCTCAGCGATTTAAGAGGAGTCCACAGGTGCAGCAGAAAGAAGGCCAATTTGTCGACAACACAGTACAGTCGTGCACCTCCAATTCGGCACCGGTATCAGTCGATACCCTGCCAGATTTTATGATTACGCGAATCGGATGCGCAATTACCTTTGCCCATCACCACCCTAGCAATTAACCTCAACGATTTTCCCCTCCTCGCGGAGGGTTGACACGCCGCATCGATCTGATTTTAAATTTTGGATCGGACGTCTTCATACAAACACACACTTCGATTTTTACCGCCAAAGACAATGGGACATCGCCCTTCCTCCTACATGTCCCTAATTCTAGCACAAGTCAGATCCTGCATGCTCTCACTCCGAACTTGCTCGTTGGGCAACGGAGCTCAGCGTGAAGGAGTACAGCTACCCAGAGGCAAACACCTAGTCGAGGGTAGCTGTACCGCTTCCAGCAGCGCACAGGGCTGTGGTTTTCGCAAACTCCCGCCTAATACAACTGCCGTACTGCAGCCCATAAACCAGGGCATCATTAAGTGCCTGAAGAATGAGTACCAGAACAAGAAGCAAGCCGCGGAGCTGGAGCTGTACTACAAGGGTGTTCCTTACACGCCGGTCGACGTTTACTCCGCCATGAAGTGGTTGTCTGAAGGCTGGAACAACATATCTGCAAAGACTATTAGAAACTGTTGGTGCCACACAGGCATCGTCTCAAAACTAAACATAAACTTAGTACTGAATTAACAAAAACAGTATCAGTGCACTGGATTTGCGTTTGTTTTTTGCTTTAGGTTGTGCACTTATGCCCTGTCACTGTTGATATGGTCCGCCCTGCCGAATTGGAGGTGCACGACTGTAGTTGTTGCATTGCTACTAGCAAACCCATCGAACTTATGGGCTGAATGGTATAAAGCTGATACCACCCGCCCATTTATTGCGTTGCAAGGTCGAGAAACAACTTACTGGCAATTCTCGTTAGCGATGTTTTACACTGGGTCTAAGATCGCTCGGGCATTTCCGGTTCACAACGGGATCGTTCAATTACCGCAACACGCAAACCATGTTTACTCTGGTGGGAGGCAGCTCTAATGCCGACAAGTTGTCACTACCAGTGGCAGTCTGTGGTCCCAACGGACCGCGACATACAGTGCAGGTCGTACAGGTGTTGAATGTCGGTGAATGCAAATTCTAGCGACTTGCTTTACCCCAAAAACGGATGGTGCTGGTCATGTGGAAGTACAATACGAATGCTGAACTGAAACACTAAAGCGCTAATATCTAATATCCTATGATAAACAATAATCAAGTGCCCTAAAAAAGCTTTCTTTAGCTCTTCAAGAAATTAATAGCCGTTGTTATAAGCTAGCCGACGATTTGTCATCATATTTCGCCTTTTATTCACCAGCTTTTTGCAACTACCGGTACATTCCTCGTTTCAGAACCTCGATGAGCATGGGCAAGGGAAAGATGTGGTCGCAGGACCGTTCCATGTCGGCAGGCGAGTCTCCTCCGCCGCTGCTAAGCCCTCTGCAATCTGGCCAGAAGGACATCGCACCAATCTACAAGTTCGTTCTCACGGGCGGCCCGTGCGCCGGCAAGACCACGTCGCTCGACCGCCTTTCGACCTTCTTCCGGGATCGTGGTTTCCGAGTATACGTTGTGCCAGAGGCGTCGACGCTTTTGCAAACTGGTGGCGCCTTCTTTCTGTAAGTACATGCAACGAAAACAAAGCTAAAGTGACGAACACCCCGTGGCTTTAAACTAATCATTTGCATGTCACTTTTTGCCACTTCTGCCAGTGACCTTCAGGAGAAGGACATTCTCAACTTCCAGTGGCAAATTCTCAGCCTCCAGATTTCTCTCGAGGACTCGTTTTATTCTCTGGCGCAGGACAGTGGCAAGCCGTGCGTAATCCTGTGCGACCGTGGAGTCATGGACGGCTCAGCCTACATGACACCCGAGCAGTGGGAAGAGCTTAAGCTCCAGCACGATCTTGACACCGTCACGCTCCGAGATACGTAAGTGGCAACAAATAACTGCGGATTATACTTGTGTTGTGTAGGTCTCAAAATTTGACCTTGCCCGTTGCTGTTGCAGCCGCTACATTGCCATTTTCCACTTGGTGACAGCTGCTGATGGTGCTGAGAAGTTTTATTCGCTGGAGAATAATGGTATTCGTATCGAATCCATTGAGCAGGCGCGAGCCATTGACGAACGCACTTGTCACGCCTGGATCGGCCACCCGAAGCTCTACGTGTTCGGTAAAAAGAATTATCTCCCAGCTGCAACTGAAATCCTGGCAACTAACATAAACTGTGTTGCTGTTAGACAATTCAACCACGTTCGAGGGCAAGATGCAGCGCCTAGTGGACACGGCGGCTGGTCTGTGTGGTGTCCCCACGACTGTCAGGGCGTCCCGCAAGTACTTGCTGGCTAAGACACCCATTGAGATTCCTTTCCACCACGAGGATTTCGAGGTGGAGAAGGTTTACCTTAAGCCCGAGGCTGCAAGTAGGTTAACAAGGGTTTCACCTGTTCGGAGACGACATACTTAAATTTTGTTTTGTTTTGCTATAGAGACGAGCAAGGACTACTCATTTGTACGCTGTCGCTCGCAGTACGGTATCCCTGCTTACGGTATGACCACTGTTCGGTACTTGGACACAGGCGATGCGTACGTAACGTTGTTTTCTGCTGTTGTCGTGTTTTTTTTTATTGAAATACTTGTTCTCTTTTCTTTTTCGCCGAGCAGAGTGCACTTGAAGCGCGTTCTCAGTGCTCGCGAATACTCGTACGCTGTAAGACATCGCTGTGACCCGACGCGTAATGTGATCAAGCAGCAGCGCATGTGTTTCCTGTACAAGAACCAGTCATTCCAGATTCATGTGTACAAGGAGCCAGCGAGCGTTGCGGGTCTCGCTGTGCTGCACGTGCAGGCGTCATGCGAGAACGACCAGGATATTGTAATGCCGTCGTTCCTGAACGTTGAAAAGGAATTGCCTGACACCGATGAGACCATGTCGGCCTACAATGTGTCGAAAAAGAACCTCTTAGGAGAGGGAAAGAAGAAGGAGTCAGCGGAGGTGTAGACTCTGGACGTCTTCGTTACATCTAGAAACTACATCTTGTATGCTGGAGAATCAGCATCTAGCTGGACGCTTTTATTCACTTGAAGCCCAGACAAAACCAACGCAGGGGCACAGCATTTATATCGTGCCATTGGTCTCGTGTTCCAGCTCGCCGTATTCCTTACACCCTTCTTTTGTCACGAAGCACCATTGCTACATTCACAGCTTCTACTAAAAAAAACGATAGTTGTGGAAGGGAAACCTACAATCAAAAGGGCTAAAGGGTTAATCCTTTAGCTACTGACTAATACTACATGTAGTGTTACTCCAGCTTCAAACTTCAGTAGAATATGTAGTACAATACTAGGCATCCCTACTGCCAGCGATCCTGAATAAAAAGACTGTGTGCACACATCTGAGTTTGACAACAGCGGTCTCCATCTCCTCGTACCTTCACAGCTAAGGAATAGGAAAGAGTCGATTTACTTCGGCCTCTGACAACTTCTGCTTCCCTGTATACTTGACCTTCGCATCAAGTAGCGCTTCTCAGCGATGGATCTCATCAATTGTCAATTCTTTATCAGGACATCGTGAATCAGTTAGCTTGTGATCGTCCTCGTTGTCACTTAGCACGAAAGGAGCGTGTGCAGATCCATCCGGGATATACGGCTCAGTTTTGATCCGACTATTACAGTTATTCGCACTCAGGGATCCCCAAAATAAAATAAAATCGCTCTGGCGAATCTACTAGAAAATACAGATTTCATTGATGCTTCAGATTGAGGTAAATAAATAACTGGAATACTTGGAAACGTGCAGTAAATTATTACTACAATCGTGTTAGTTGACCTACACAGCCGTCGATAAACAAGAGTCCACAGTAGCTACGTTCCAGAAACTCGCGTTGACCTTCAGAAATAAGATCATTTCTAAGGTCAAAGGCGACATCCGGTGACGCTCGAGACGCAAGACCGCTCGAGCCACGCTGAAGAGCCTCTCCACGATGTTTGACGTCGGAGGGATGGCACTTAACAGCTTGTACCTGACAGGCTCCGCGGAAATCTTGCGGCGCTTTAGAATCTGGCGAGCAAAGCCATCCGCATCCGGTGGAGACGCTGGTGACGCGCTCGTTGCTGCCGCTTCGAGCTGACGGAATGGCTCCAATACCGTTATCTCCATTGCCGTCAACTCAACCGTTTTCCCAGCCAATACCTTGACCACAGCTGCCTCAAAAGCCTGCGCGTGAATGATACCTGCATCTGGAGCTAGACATAAAAAAATTAATACAAGAATCCAAAACATTTCAAATAAAAAACACTTACCAAGGTACTTGCTCATTGAAGGACGAATCTCCAACAGACCATCAAAAAGATCCCTGGCATCCAACAGAGTAAGTCCGTCGGACTGTAGCATCTTGGAAACGGACTCAACGCATCGAAGCTTGGACAAGAGCTCCTCTAGCTGGCGGTGTGTCGTCCGGGATGGCAACATGTCGGCCAGCTCGTCGTCGTCAGCTGAGAGGAACTCCCTCAGCCTGAAGTAGCGCTTCAGCATCGAGAATGTCGAGGCCCAGCGCGTGTCCTGACGCATAATTGGTACCAGCGGCGTTTTGAATCTGTACCAAAAAAAAATCACAGACCAAAAAATAGTATTCCACAATTACATTAGCAAAAATGAATTGGATACAAAAATACAGATCACGGTACCTCAGCTTTGCGGCTTGCTTGAGGGTACGTAGCTTGCGCATTAACTGCTGAACCTCCTCTAGTGCGGGTTCGTGCGGAGCCAGGTAATCTCGAACCGCGAGGTTAAGTCGGTGGCTGGCGCATCCGACTAGCGGGACGCCCATGATGTTGGCAAGGCGCTTGTTAACCGAGCAGTTGTCCCCAACGAGGAACTTACACCCCTCAATAGATTTCCCAAAAAAGGGTAAAAAACGCTCAATAGCAAGCAAATGCCCATCCGCGGACAGCTGATCGTCCGGTTCCTCCATTATTGGAGCCATTGATAAAAGGGGGTAGCATGGCCCGTTGGGTTCATCGTAACAAGCGTAGACAGCCAGGAAGTGTTCCGTTCCGTGGCTCCAGCCATCGAGCATAAGCCCAAACTCATCGGGCATCTCCTCACCAATAGACCGCTCTACAGCCTTGGTGAGGTCTTCCATGTTAGACACCAAAGTTCCAACAGAGACGGGCGCCAAGTTCGTATTCCTGTTCAAACGCACGTATACGAAATTAGTTCAAATCATAAATAGTCCGATAGAATTTGTGTACTTACTTGCGCGTCCAACTCGACTCGCAGAAGTTGAGCGGCAGATTGCCCTCGACAACCCACTTCAACCACGCGTAACGGTTCGATGCCTTCTGGCTCACCCAGGGAACAAGTGTTCCAGTCGCAGCAGCGCTCGCGTCACGCATCTCGCTCTCGAACCTTGGGTGCGACGCGCGAACGTGCGTCACTAGGTTAGTGTAGCCGCTCCGAGGAGCGTGTTTACGCCGTTTGCCACAGGCCTTGCAGGCATGGTAGCCTGTAATGTCGCCTTCTTCGTCCAGCACGGGCTTGAAGAAGAAGGCGGCAATTTGCCTTGGTGAGAAAGGCTGAGTTTTCTGAGTCGTATCGACGAGATTGGCGAGCATGGCAGGTATTGCGGCGTGTCGGCAGGATGGCGGAGAAGTGGCAAATTTAGAAATGCAAACGAAGTGCTGCGGTCAGTGACTCTCCGGGAGTACTTGGAAGCTGACTGCCAACGCTTTTGGGTGGTGTAGGCAGCTTGAAAATTAAGCATTACTTTTTCAGAATTGGTGAGATCAATTATTTGTGACTGACCAAATATGTGCAAAATAAGTAATTGTTTCAAACAATACAAAATTATTTTTCCGAGTATTTATTTTTGGGCATCCCTGGGGGCTAACAGTGTATCCTTCGCTTTTGCTCCACTCGCGCGCAAATATTCGAGATAGTTACCACTCCACCATTCAATAAGTATCTCCATTCGACTTTGACCATTCCGACCAGGCTGAAGCGTTTGGTCACCGCTTTGATTTTCGCCAAATTTGAACAAGTTTGTCATTTGAATATTTTGCTGTAATAATACATCGCATATTTACCTGATCATCCCAGTGATTTGAGATTGGATCTCGTCGATCGTGCGGCCGTAGATTTCGTACGACAGCAGCACCCGACAAAATTCTTCAATCACCTCTGCAAGATTGGTTGCTCGGTAGTATGTCGCGTGATTTTTTACAAACCACTTGATCAAAAGATCGCTTGGAGTTGTATTTTGAGTTCTTGCGCCTCACTGAAAACGCTTCGATCGCGTTGACAGGTGAGTGGAAACTGGGAAGAATCAGGGGTAGTCGATTCGACCTTATGTGGGACGGGCACACCTTACCGCTAACGGGGTAGGGAACATCTGAGCTCAGAAAAAAAGTAGAAGCTTCAAATTTACATTATGCTCTTTAAAGCTAGGCTATTCCTAAAAAAAATAGTAGCTTCAAATTTACATTTTGCTCTTTGAAAGTTAGGTTCGCGTACGAGTTCTCGCGACTTCGCTCTCCATTCATCGCCCTTTGTCGCGTCTCTTTCGGCTCTTATTAGTGCACTCTCTGTTAGGCGACGCTGCTTACAACTTGAGTACAGAGAGCTTTAAGTAGCGTAAATGAAAAAAAAAATCAACTATTTCCCACTGAAAACTAGAATATCAACTCGCAAGTTGAAAGTTTCACACATTTGACCATCCAAACGCACTTAGACGTCAGGTAGCGGGAGGAACTTGTCGACCTGCTCCTGAGACACACCCCGCTGAAGAAGGTCATGCCGCTCCCGAAGCAATGTGGCAATTCGCACGATTTCACTCGTAGATGGTGACTGTGTCGGCAACGATGTCTGAAGACACACCTGGGGGACGATAGGGTTCACCTTGGCAGTTTTTTTGTCCTGCTCGTCCTCAGTTTCGCTGTCCGACCCAGCAACGGCTCGATTTGGAGACGTAATGCTGACTTCAAGCATCCTAACGTCTTCCTCATCACGACTCTCAGTGTTGCGGCGACCGACTTGTCTTGGCGTTTCCGTGACAGCCAAATCAACCTGAAAGTCGGTGCTTTTGCCGCCGTCCGCAACCTCTTCAAAACTAGCATCGCTTTCAGCTTCGTCGTCGCTGATGTGCGAATCCTCACCGTCTTGGTCTACCGGTACAGAAGGTGGTGAAACTGCTCGTTCACAGGCATCAGGGTTGTCTTTCTCTGCAAATACTCTCTTGAGGGAGGCACCGTACTGATCAAAGGCCGAGGATGGACGTGCCTTTCCACCTGCTTGTCGTTGGAGACTGTCAATTTTCACGCGGATGGCGTGAATGGTACAGCCGCGGTGCCCAGCTTCCTCGATCTTGTGTAAAAGTCGGATGAGCATCCTGCCTTTCTCTCCTTTCTTCTTCGACTGCGTGTATGCAGCGTAATTATTCTTCATCCAGTCCACCAACAACTCCATTGCAGTCGGAGCACCAGGCAGCACCTGCTTCATCCAGGAGAGACGGCTGGCGGGACTATTACGCGTGTGCTTCACGGGGGGCTTCACCGCCATCGAAGTATCAATTCCTATCGTGCGTGCATCAAGGAAACTATGGGTCTGGATAGCAGGACCATCAAAGCTGTGGCTCTCTGGCTCCCCCGTCTCCTGTCCGTCAGAATTCTCAGCCGCGTCTTCACGCTCGTGTCCGGCGTCCCCTACCGTGAAAATCTCTTCAAGTACCGAGCCAAATTGTTCCCATGCTGCCGACCGTGACTTTTCTCCTCGCACTTCTCGATGCAGTACGTCGATCTTGGCACGCACAGTGTTAACAGCACAGTCTTGGATGCCAGCGTCCCTCATCTGCTTGACCAGATCTTCCAGCATCCTCCCCTTCTCTCCCTTCCTGGTAGCATGGGCGTACGTAGAGTAATTGTTTTTGAGCCAATCCACCAGCACTTCCATGCCACTTAAACCACCATAGGGCGAAGGTTCGAGCCAGGACAAGCGAGTATTTGGACGCTTCTGCTGATTCGGAAGGGCGGAGGAAGCTTCAGAATGTCCGTCCTTGAACAGCAGCGTCTGCAGACGCTCTCGGTAGGGTATCAGGTCTTCTGGTAGTGCGTGGTATAAAGTGGCTGCATCGTGTACTACCTCCTGGAGGTAGCTAACGTAGTCCAGGATTTGGTCCACCTCGCACTGGACTCCGAGGGTGTTGAGCTCCCGACACAAAGGCACGAGCACCTCCCGCTGGTGACTGGACGCGTGGTACACGACGCCGTTTAGCGCGAACCAGTCAACGAGAATCTGTAGCGGCTTCTGCCCGCCTGGCGACACGGGACGCAACCAGTTGACGTCCAGCGCAGACATTTCCGAGGGAGGGGCTTGATTGGGATAATAATGAAATTTGGTGCGACTAGACAAGGGACGGAATATAACGCCATCAATTTTAAAATACTAAAATTAGGCTATCTCCACTCGAGTTGCTATCGGAGTTGCTATTACTAAAATAGCGACGGAATCAGAAAGAATATATTCTGCTATCTCCACTCATTGCTATTTGAAAATAGAAATTCTGATTCGAGTTGCTATTCGGATCCCCAATAGCAACTCTGGTGCACGAATAGAAACTCACTCAACCGAAAGATCGCAGGCGCCATGGGGAGAGGTCGGAAGTGGTGTGCTCAGGAGGACGAAGCTCTGGCTCGCGCGAACAAGATTTCTGCGGAGAACCCAATACTTACCCAAAATTACAGTAGGCTTCTTCCCTTTTCCTTGGTAATAGCCCTTCCATGCGTTGAGGCACGCTGACCAGTCCCAGTGAAAACAATCTAGCGAGCCAAATAATCCAGGTAATCCTCTGTTTGCGTTAAAAGCTAGGATTTTCTCGGTATCTTCACGAGATGGCGATCGAAGAAACTCACGCCCAAAAATCTCGACGACAGACTTGCAAAATTTCTTCATGCATGAGGATGCTAGAGACTCACTAATGCGATAGTATTGATCTTGAGCATCTGCTGAATCACCCTTGGACAACATGTGCAGCGCAGCAGCAACCTTTTGCTCAGTGGAAGCCCCCATGAGCCCAACGGCATCGGAGTGTTGCTGAAAAAAGTGCTCTTGAGATGATAGTTCTCCACAAATTCTGTTGAACACCGCAATAGGAACACAATGTCGTCGCTCAAACAGCTTCTCGCTGTAATCAGGGTTGTCCCCAAGATAATCTCGCACCAGGGCTGCGTGTCCAGACGCAATGTCGCGCGCGAGGCGCTTGATTCTTCTTTTGTTTGAGCCTTGACGAAGTGAAGGAGCCGTCGCTTCTTCTGTTGGCTCCGCGCAGACCACAGCGAAAACAGCAGCTAAAAGATCATCGTCATCAGCGAGGAAAAACTAATCGTCACTGCCCTCCATTGCCGATAGAATAGCCTCCAGACGACTGGAGTTGGTGAAAAATCCTTATTTCTATTATCGCAGCGAATAGCAACAGCCAATCAGATTCGACAGATTGCAATACGGATAGCAACTACGAGTGGAGATAGCGAAGAAATGAAGTTTTAAATACGACCAGACGTCTACAAAAGGATCCGGAATAATTTTTTTGAGCCGATTAAAAATCGTCTTCTCTCTTCATCCTTCTCGTCGCTGTTAGAAGATTACGCCTTAACGCGATGCTATATTAATATCTCGTTGGGCATTAGCAAACCAATGATCCAACGTCGTGGATGTGACAAAAGTACCGACGGTTGGACACGATACATGAGCTCCATGTTTCGAATCAGAAGTAAACGCTGCGTGCCTGATTGTGAGACTGACCTGTTGAAATCTGTATCCGACTCCTGCAGATGAGAAGGGTGCTGCGAAGCTTTTGGGAACAGGTCATTTATGAGAACGGGATGGAGCCCAAGAGTGTTGGACACGCAACAGCAAGATAGAGGCTAACCCTAAATTCTATCAGTCTTCATTTTTCCTTCTTGGTATACCTCTGTGCTGCATCGGCGCAAACCACCGCGTTACTAGTAGTAGCTACTGATGGGGTACAGTAGCTGCAGAAGCGGGGTTGGCAGTGTGACGGCGTCACATAGTACCTTGCGCTAGAGGAAGTCTGCTTCCGAGAGTCGACAAACGCTCAGTTTACAGTAGTTTACTGGTCCCTTTTGTCGAAGGAAACGAAGCGACCAGCTTAAGGAAAGTTGTAAGTTGAATGTACTTATAGGTAGGCTAAGCTTGAGCTAAATAAAGAAACTAAAATTCACCTTTAGGGAAGCTATGTCATCAGCCAATGGTTGGCCTCTGACGACCGTACCAGGTATCCCGAAGTGTTGATGTGTCACACTTCATGTAACCAGAGGTACACATGAGGATTACGTTCCCCGTTACATCCCCCCTACTTAGTTTCGGTTTACCGACCAAATGAGATAGTGTACGTCACAAACTCTCATTCTCAAAGTCGAAATACATCGACTTGGCTGCGCGAGCGCGGCGAGGCTCACTTTACAGCTAGAGCCACGAGCAGCACTTGAGCGCTCTTCTTCTCGGTCTCCTGTTCGACCTTTGGCATGCCCTGTGGCACTATGAAGAGCGGTGCAAAAGCACACTCCAAGGCTGCTGCCGGAAAGGTGCAAGCCAAGAGCACTAAGCCTCGAGGCAAAGGCTTTGCACTCCAGGAGGCTACTAAGTAAGATTTACCACTAGATGATCAAGAGCCCGGGGGAGGTTGGGAATTGCGGATCTAGCGTTGGTAGTGATCACTGGATAATTTATTGGCCAGATCCTACCACCTAGTGAGCTTCCTTTTACACGTGCAGATCCGAAAGGTTAAGCGAATCTACTACTCGGCCGGGTATACTGAAGAAGCTCTCAACGCTCAAGAGCCCGCTTTACGAATCGGCAAGTACGACGCAAAGGAACGCAAAAGCAAGGAAATACACCCGCAAGGCAACCCTACGGCCAGTTTGCAGATCTAGGCCCTGAATTCACCAAGCTCGAATATTCGCTTGGGATCCAGAGCTACTATTGAACGGAAATCTTACCACCCCATCCCCACGTCTCACTAAGACACTCATGCTTCACCACTTTAGCTCTTCGGAAGTTACTGAGAGAGCAAGATCCAGCCCTACCGACGGGTACACAAGGTGAGGAAAGTTCAGCAGAACGCGGATCATCGGGGGACCCCCTTCGGCGGTCGGTGTCTGGGATGTGTTGGTAAGTTGGATCCAGCAATCGCACAGCTTTTGCTGATCCCGCTACACCACAAAGTCATGAACAATGCGCCACTTGCCGTTCGGCTTTCTGACCAAAACGTGAGTGTCGAGTGCAGAGACTTGCTATCGCGCACCAGCCCCGCCTCGTGCTTCGCACGGAAGCATGCGTCAATGACGTCATATTGCTCTGATAGCAAATACTATTGCCTTGTCACGCAGTATTTGGTCCCGGGAACCAGGTCAATCTCATGACACGCGCCTCGATCCGGAGGCAGGCCCGTCGGTGGGTCTTTCAAGACAACGTCTCCATACTCCTTCACCACAGGGTAGAAGGGGTCCGAAGGATCTTTAGCTTCGCCGATCCACTTCTTGCGCTCAGCGCCTTCTTGGTGTCCTCTAGGATCGCGTCGTCCACAACGGACGAGGAGCTCAGCTCGTCCTCAGGTATTATCAAGACCACCTCGGCTAAATCACCTGCCTTCAAGACTTCGACGAACTCGGCAACGGACATCTCGTCCAGCTCTAGCAGAGCATCTACAGCGGGCAGAGTGTCAAAGGCTGATGTCGCCTTCGATCTCTCCCGTCACTCCATTGACGACTGTGTACAGCTGGTCACAGCAATCACGTAAAGCCTTACCACTCGTCACGTTGGACACCTCAAGAGATGTCGTTACACCATTCATGCAGGTCGAAACTTACTTATTACCGTTTCCCGGCGATGACCCGGAGAGGTTGGCTCGCCGGAGCCTCGCGCTTCTTGCGCAGAGAGCAATAGGCCCTCACGTGCTTACTGCTACTGCACACAAAGCATCGGCGGATGCCGGCGCGCTGCTCCGCAGCAAGAAACTCCGCTTCTTCGTCTTCAGCATAGCTGAGGTCCATCGGTTCCGGACCGCTCGAAGATCTCGCGCTACTAGCGCTCCAACCAGGTCGAGCCGACCTGAAGTTGTGCTCGGCATTTAATGCCACATTCACCGCCTCTTCGAAAGAGTTAGGGTGTACACGGAACACTTCCGTTCGAGCTGCACTCACACGAAGTCCCTTCATGAACACGGTCACGCTGATCAGTTCCGGAAGAGAGTCCGCCGCCATTCCGGCGATAAGCGCTCTCAACTCTTGGACATAGTTCAATAACTTCTTCTTACCCTGCCGGGTAGCAAGGAGCTTCGACCGGATACGGTACGCCTGATTAGGCGGCGCGAACACGCGCGAAAGCTGTTGCTTCAGCTGGTCCCAAGTGGGAAATGCAGCGTCAACAGACGTGCCGCACGTTAGTGCCCATTCGCGAGCGCGACCTTCAAGCCTGGAGATAGCCAGCGCCACGCGCCGATGCTCAGACTGGAGCAGGGCCGATCGCATAGCCATCGCGTCCTCACCGGTCCAGAGAAGGAGATTCTTTCCATCCTTCTCCTCTCGGTTTTACGCTCACCAGGAGCGGTTTAGTCTCATTGCCCCTTCACGCGTCATCGCTTGGACGTGCTCCAAAAACGCGTTCTCATAGCGTGATTCCAGCCTGGCGGCGACCGCCTCTCTGGACCTTGCGATGCAAGATGAGCCACGCCCTCCGGGCCAAGCAAGTTTGTAAGCGTGTCCTGCTGCACCGGGGTCAAATTCGCGAACACGGGGTGTTCCATCCTCGCAGGCAATACAGTCAGCCGACTCAGATGCGGGATTAACTACACGTGCTACCAAGTGCAGCGGGGCTTCCGTAGCTTTAGCGTCAGAGGAAGACGGTCGACTCAAAGAGTCACTAATACTAAGCTTCTTTTCCAAGGGAACTAACAGCGCACGACCAGGGCACAAAGATAATACCTTAACTTTTATGCTTCAAAACCAGAAGTTATTTAGTTACTATTATTGCGACCAAGCCGCCTGGGGGTACATGTATCTGTTTAGCTATGTAGCATAGTTAAACCTAATCAGATGCATATCGTGTGACTTTCAGCCAACGTACTGAGAGACCATGTTAGCTCTCCAACTTATGTACTGAGCGTTTGTTAACTCTCCGGGTACGCCGCACCCCTGTGTTCTACACCATGTAACCCCGTTACAAAACATGTCAGCAGGTTAAATTTGCAGTGCACGCTTCGGTTCCGTTACAGAGCCTGCCCGTTCCGGCTGACGGTTGGAAGTCGATGAGTCTTGACTTCATCTTCGGGCTTACCGCCG